TTTATGGTTAAGAAGTCTAGACCATAACCGTTCAGCTAGTGCTTCAGCAAGTAAAACACAAACAAAGTCTTTAAACTCTGCTTCCAGTAACTATCACTTCTGCATTGTTCTCACGAGCCAAAAATACAATTTGTGAAAAGAGGTCTTCAGTCCAGTATACGACAAACAACCACCCTTACCATTATACCATTATAAACGGAACACTTCGAAATATCCTATAAAACGGGATGAACACTGCGGCACAAAAAAACGGATGTATTCTACGTGATAGAGGATGAAAACATTGTATTTTAAAACAACAATGACCAGTTAACAACAACTTTTACAGTGAGATAAATGTGATGACACCTAAGAAAACTTCTACATCATTATCCAAAAAAAAAAAAAACTATCTAAAGAGCCCTTTCTAAAGAAAATGATAAACCACTGATAAACCAGCAGCTAAACACCTTACAACACAGCTGAAATCGTTGGAGGTTCAAAGCCGACCAGCGGTTTTAAAAAGCGACAGAGAGTTGAAAAGGTTACAAATGGTAACTCACTAGCTTATCCCATTTGATAATGGGGTTTTTAACAATGAAAAAAACAATCTAAAACTGAAAAATGTTTTAACAACTAAAGATCTATGATATCAACGTGCATATAAATCAAACAAATTTAACAATTAAAAAATTACCAAATCCAGCAGTGAAAGACTAGATCCAGTTAACTCAAAGCCAAAAAAACACGTAGTAAACAGCGAAAAACAAAAAAACGAAAATTTCATTGAAAAAGACCCGTGCTGTAGATGGCACGACTACGAATCAGTGTGGCATTCAAAATTATATTTAACTTATGGCTCAGCCAATGTGACCTGCTCTGTTAAAATAACTATATACAAGTAAACTAATTAAAATTTAACACCAAACCCAAAAGTTTTTCAACTATAGTTGCTCTGCTGACAAAGAGATGACACCAACACCAACACCTCCTTCGTGTGCAACCATACTTGACCTCAAAGTCCACTTGTCCTCATCAACACTGTAAGTCTCCACTGAGCTAAGATTCGAAATCCCATCGTACCTACAAAATATTTAAAAACAAAGTTTATAGGTTTAGAAAGACTACAGAGTTGCAAACTAAAAGAGCTGTTCTAAAGCCCAATAATCTGCTTAAGCTCACCCGGCAATAGCGTACAAAATACCACCGTTAGCGACCAGCGAAACCCGACTCCTTTTCAAATGCATTGGTGATAATGATGACCACTCATCAACTTCTGGATCATAAACCTCAACAGACTTCAAAAACTGGCATCCATCGTAACTAAAAAATACAAAACAAATCAAAAATTAACGAGTACTGAGACCCAAAAATCCCTGTAACGATCAATATCAACTGAGAAAATAATAATAAAAAACATAAACTGCTTTTAAAATCAAGCTTCAAAAGGTTTTAAACGCTCACCCGCCACAAACATAAATCTTGCCACGTAAAGCAGCAGCACCTAACCTGCACCTTTTACTACCCATTGGCTTTATGTTTTCCCAAACACCAGTTTCAACGTCGAACCGCTCTGCCGAGTTAAAAATTGACATACCGTCATGGCCACCAATCACTGGAAAAAAGTTGTCACAAACTTAATAGCAAATGTGACAAAAATAAATTATTAAACTATACAGAGATAATGTTACCGTAAATATAGTTGTCAATGACTGCAACTCCAGCTGCAGATCTTTGCTTATGCATTGAAACTCCGGTTGTCCACCTGTCAGACCTTGAATTATACACTTCTACCGAAGAGAGCGAACTGATGCCGTCATAACCTCCACATACGTAAATGCGACCATTAACAACAGCAGCACCCAATGCTGAACGTTTATTTGTCAATGGTGCTACCTAAAAGCTCAATATACCTTTCAGTTTAACAAGTGTCGATTCTCTAAACAAATTGATCAACTAAGCTTTAGCGACTAAAATCCATGTTTTCGCTACTGCACCACAATGCAACTCCTACAAACCCGCAAAAAATCGAAGTATTTAAATTAAACTACTTGTCGCCATCTTAGCCAATCCGGGTCATAAACTTCCACTGTCCGTAAGCGATCATGTCCATCAAATCCGCCTATTGCGTAAAGTTGACGATTCATTACAGCAACACCAACACGAGAACGGATCGAGTTCATGGCCTTAGTACAGCACCATTTTCCTGTAAATGACAAATCAGCAAACAAATTAAACTGAAAATAACGGCTTAAGATCATAGGATAACACTAACATAACTTTATGTTTTTCATGCATCAAAAAATGACCTGTAGCAGGATCATACATTTCCACTGTGGAAAGAGAATCCCCATTGCACGTTAGACCTCCAACAGCATAAATAAGTCCAGGAGCGTCAAAGCAGCATCGTTGTCTAGTTCTAAAACAAGTAGTACCATACAAAAACAAAAAATGGTATTCGACATTCTTATTTATGTTAAACGACATCTTAAGATCGAATTTGACTACCACTTACTTGAAGGTACTAAAACTTTTTCTTCTCTCCGGCATTAATAAATAATCTTTAACTTCATCAATTAGCTTCCTGCATTCCAAGTTTTCACTTATCATGGGATGTGCAGCAACTCGATCAGCTATGTACTGTGGTTTCAGTAATGGTAGGCGAACTGTCACCAATATTCTAAACAAATAATTCATAAGTTGCTTCACTCTGCGGTCACTATTCTTTTAAATCCAAAAACGACAGTAATCGACTCGAATTCAAGCCCGCAAATGCAAGCTCTAGCAAAACAGAAAACTTTGATAACCAATTTAGTAATGGCGGACCTGGTGGAATACTCAGCCCTTGATGGATCATGCTCCAACCAACGTATTGCAGCATCAAAAATCTGTCCCTCATTATCAACAAAAAGTTCGTCTCTATTGAGCAATAAGATGACCTCGTCAACACTCAGAGATAAAAATTCTTCTCCTTTAGAAACAAGCAAAAAATGCTTGTGTAGAAACCGATCTATATAAAGTTACGGAAGATAACACTTCAATAACAGGTTATAAGAGATATTAAAAAAGAAGCGACTAGGTATTCTCTTGCATATAAATCAAAACAAATGAAAGCTGCTTGAAAAGCACCAAAAAGTTCCCCTTCAAAAATATGTACCTGCCGAAAGCACCAGAGAGATACAACCAAGAGCTATAGCAAACGATCTGACGCCGAGTATATTCTGAACGTGAAATCTAGCTTGAAGAAATTTGCAACACTCATCGACAATGCTATTCAGTTGCAAGAAGTTCGCAGCTTGCATAATACTTTGTACGTTCGCACTTGTAATACGGACCCTACCGGTGTAAGCAAAAGCTATCAGGCTCTCAAGCGTGTCTCCATCCAATTCTGCAAATAAGCCAAAATACTTCGTGGCGAAATTGTCAGCAAGGTGATACTAAAAGCAATAAACCAACCATTCCTCCAAATTAACATCCCGATACTCCATCTAATAACAAAAAACCCTACCAGGTAACTCAATGTCTTCCTTCTGACATTCCGCCATATCGGTAGTAAACATAGCACGAAAATATGGAATAGTAGCAGCTAAAACCACACGGTGCGCGCTGAATCTAAAAGTTCTATAAATGAGATGCAACCCAACTAGCTCACAAGGCCAAAAGAAGCGATAAATTTCCCACCTTAAACCACCTGCAATCAAAACAACATCACAAAGTTTGCCACTCCGTCGGATTTCTTCAAAATTTGGAAATGCTGTGGTTGCAAATGATGCACCGCTGTCGAACATTATAAATTCATCATCGTCTTCATCACACATGGTTAACAATGCTAAAATCACTTGCTGCTGACAAAGACAAGATAGTAAGCACGAAAACGTGGGAAATGGACCAGAAAATTACAAGACAGTATAGATTTAATTTAATTATTGGATAGTAAAAGAAGGCAAAATGACATCGGTATTTACAAACCGTGGGAAGAAAAAACTAAAAACCGCTGAAAAATACAAACTTTTTCCGTTATTAAAAATAAAACCGATAATCACCACGAGAAATGAAATTTGGTAATAACGTACATATGTATCGTCGTGTGTCTTCTGTTGTCATTTTTCCATAGACTGTTGCCGTTGAGAGAGCTCTTAGTTGGTCAACACTGTAATTTTTTAAGCTGTTATAAACATAAGAAAAGGTAAGTATTAAATGGAACTAGAACTAATTGTACAAGGTTTCTGATGGTGATTACGAAACGGCAAATGAAGGGTTAAGTAAGAACTGTTTTTAAGAAAACCAAAACAGGCAAAAAAAGTCAAAAGAGTTAAATCACGTTGTCAGCGCCAACCAATAAAAGAAGCCTAATAGAGAAGAATCAATAATACTTCGTGGAGATAATAAAATAAAAGAGAATCAAAAAAATAAATAAATAAATAAAATATCGGCAAGAAAAAATGGAATCTGCAACCATCTACACTTTGTCAAACCCTAGTTGAAAGATTTGCATAGTTTCCCCATTTATATAATTATGAAATGATTGATAATTTATCCTTTTTAATTCTAATTTCCCCCACAACCTCAACAACTACTCATCAACTGTACATTATAATCAACAAAATGTAATGTAAATAACAAGAAGATAACGAAAAGAACAGTGGTAAGAAACACCTATAGTTTTTAAAAGCAAACAAGAAAAAACCTACATGAATTGTTTCCAGTAAATAATCTTAAGATACAGGTGGTCAGTGTACGGACCATTCCACACAGTTCTAACCGACTGCACACGCTCGAACAACAAAAGAAGCCTACTGGAAAAACTGGTTCATTTTTTCTCCTATAAACCTTAAACAGTAGTACTAATCTTTGGAAAGGATAAACTTTCAAATAAATCACGCGCAAGAAGCACCGAAAAGGAACTAAAATGCGAGAAGAAACACGACAAAAACGCTGTTATGAAGCATAAAACGCTAAAAAAGAAAAAAACAATTTAGGGCATATAGACTCTGACGAGCAAAAATCCGCTGAACAGACGATCTCACCTCACAATGCACTTTATCTCTCCTATATGCATATGCGCTTCCCTCCTAATGTTTTTGTGTTTTCCAGCAGCGATAGCAACACCACCAGCAATACATCGGCCCGCACTTGTGCGTTGTCCAAACAGAGCCGAACCTTTCTTCTCAGTCTCGGCCCTGTCTCTCACTTCTCATTTTCTCTTCCCTTCCCTTCTTCCTCTCCCCCACCATCGCCCTGCTTTAGCCATTCCTTCATCTCGTCACTAAGAAAAATCATGTTTTCCCCCATGTTTTTTTTTCCTTTTTTTTTTCAACAGCAAATCCTTTCTTTAGTCTCGTCTTCTAGTACTTGTCTTCCTCTCCTTTTTCGATTCCTTTCATTTTAACTCCACTTAACGGCAAGAAGTTTGGGTACTTTTTATAGGAAAAGAAAGGAAAAATAAGTCATGCTAGTTTTAGCGAAAACATGCTTCTGTATTGAGGCTAAACCATACATTTAAATAAGATAATAATCGTGGAAAAGATAAATAAATAAAGAATCAATAAGATATATAATTTTTAATTACATAACCACTAGACTGCCAACGTTTTAAGCAGAAACGAATCAGTAAACAAAAACAACAAGTAAGCAAATAAATTACGGGCAAAAAAAGTGATAAATCATAAATATTTTATAAGAAAACTGATCGTTCTTTTTTTTTTCTCCCGTCCGTCACTAACCCTCTTTTCCGCAGTGCATTGTATTTTACAGATTACGTTGAAATCGTAAAAACGCGGATACATCCGGTTACCATTAGAACCAAAAGAAAAGTAAATGTTCTGCCACTTACAACAACAGAAATTGTTCAAAGTTATTTCTTTTAGCTTATTTCCAAGAAATCATTAGTAATGACAACACTGCAAAAAAAGGCAGAGCGAGTGTAAAAAAAAAAAAAAA